AAATTTTAACAGTCTATAGCCAAAAAAATCACTCTCAAGTGCCCACGAACTGCATCTCTACCTTAAATGATTTATCCTTATGAAAGAGTACTTTCTTTTCTAACCTGATTTGTTGTTTTTCTTACATATTCTATCAATTAGGTTTCAGTTCTGGGGATATATATGAGGGATGAGGTTACTAGTTTCCATAGAAACAGAGATTCTAGCGTCCCTCCTAGTGTCTTGTTTCGAAATGGTTAATTTTTGTGAAAACATAGGTAAACGGCGAAGATTTGAGAGGTTTTTGTTTGTAAACAGGGTTAGGTTACCCCTAATCTTGGAATGGATTGTCCCAAGGACGCATAAACCATTCTCGACAAACTGTTCAAAAATCACATTTTTTTACTCACTTCTATCAGGAAATATGAAGATCTTTGTGAAACACGCGGTCGAATTTCATGTGAATCATGCTAAAATTAATTTTATTTGAGTGTTTAAATCAGTATATTATCATAAAGTTGACATTTTTATATTGTTTTTGCATCAGATTCTTGATTCTTTGCATTTTCTTGATATTTCTATGTTGTTTTTGTATTAAGTTGGCATTGTCTTACCATTTTTATGTTCCGGTCTTTGCACTAGGTTGGCAATTTTGATTTTTTTTCCATATTATTAAGTTTTACATTTTTTTAATTTATTAAAGCTTGTATAGCAACATGTTTGTATTCATATACGACAAGTCTATTTCAATTCATCGTGAATTTTAGCATAGCATATAAACAATGCATCAAAAAATAGTTAATTTCGGTAAAATATTTGGTATCAAAGTATAAAACCAAATATTTATACCAGAATTGAATTAGTCACGAACATTATAGTCTATACATGGGTATTTTCGGTAATGTGTTGTGGCAACACTTGTTTCCCGTCATATTAGTGTGATAAGTCCAACATGTTCAACTATTATTTACGTCTCACCACATGCAAAATAACACAAACATTAACGAAGTTTTTTTTTTTTATATAAAATGTATAGCTATGTGGAAATACATATATTGTGAATTATATGTCTCAATTCTTGGTTTAAGTAATACCGTCTAATAGAGCGAATTGATGTTACCATCTATACATGTCCCTGCAAATCGTACCTCTTTATTCTGTAACCCCTACTTTGAGGACAAATATCTGACCCAGTATGGTACTGATTAATTAGTTCATTTGTTTGTCCGCTTCAATTTGTATGGGATTCAATTAAAAAAATGATATGCATATGGCTCCATATGTAGAACCCGCTATATGTCTTTCATACTAAATGTGTGTGTGTGTGTGTGTGTGTGTGTGTGTGTGCGTGTGTGTGTGTGTGTGTGCGTGTGTGTGTGCGTGCGTGCGTGCGTGCGTGCGTGCGTGCGTGCGTGCGTGCGTGTGTGTGTGTGTGTGTGCGCGCGTGCGTGTGCGTGCGTGTGCGTGTGCTTATTATTATATATGTTTTAAAGCTTGTCAGAATTTCACATCATTTTTTCTCTATAGATTGAAGTCGGGGATTTTGAGTTGGCAGCACGTATTTTTTTTGTATAATCGGATTTAAATACGCACCTCATTTGTACAATCTATCTACTACTTGAATATTGAATTGCTACTTGAACATTGCCCGCTACTTGACAAATACATTCCGCTACGTTAAACTAGGTCTGCTACCGTAAAAAAAACGGTCCGCTACTTGAAAATCGATCCGCTACTTGACACAACTGCCAGCGGTAACCTTTGACCTGCAGATATGACCACCGTGCACAGTACAATCATTGGCGTGACTTCGTACAGTCAGTCGCTTAAGTATAAGACTCAACGCTTACAAGTCGTATTTCTGATAATCACCATAAAACTACTATGCACACGAATTGTCTATGAGAGTGTGTCACGCTTTACGCATAGCATTCAGTTATTAAAGACAGATGTCACATTACATAGACAATATGAATAAATGAATCCACCGTATAATCGCACCAGCCTCGGCAATTTTTTATTTATCCAAACGATAGAAACAGAAACTGCATACAAATGCGACTATAGAGCTACTACTGTAAACAAAACGAGTTGGCATTTTATATCCCAGATTCGAAAACAAAATAAAACTACACCTCTTATTTGGTGAATAAAGACGTGAATATTCCATGACTAGCGTGTGACGGCGCAGAAAATAACGAAATCTTCAAACCAAACGGCTCCGTGACATTTAAACGTGGTGAAATCGAATGTGGCTGCCTATTTATGTTAATATTGCACCGATACAGCGCCGACAAACATCAACACTCTTGAATATTCGATTTTATTGTCAACGCAATCAAAAGCAGTGAGACCAATGACGGCAGTACGATAGTCAATAATAACAGACAATAATACCTTATACAACATAATACCTTGTACTGACCTTCTGTGTGGGTTTTATAACGTATTTCCATTATGGTTCCTGCGCCCATGCTGGCCACGTTTACAATTTATCTGTAAACACGAACCGCATATGCTGCCCTCACTGCGTCTCATAAATGTCACAAGTACACTCAAATGCATGTACACAGTAACGTGTCATCCTACCCCAATGGCCACGTGTCAGCTAACTTTAACTTTGTGGACAAAAAAAATCTGGGTTAACACATCAATCACCATTGGTTGGCATTTAGGTACGTGTATGTACGCATGCCAATATATGAATAATAATGATGTACTCCCCGGTGGCTCATAGTGAACGAAAGCACACTTTGCACGACCATCACCATCACCATTTTTACCAAACGCTTCAGCGTGGTATTAAGAGTTTGTTTTCAGGGGTGGGTGATACCAAGGTGGGAAATGGATGCACATATGGGGTTAATTCCTTGAATTGCAATATAGAGGGTTCAGGCTGAAATACAATATATAGTGTTTTCATGTTTCGTCTGATATTTCTGTGGTATTCTGCTGCTGTAAGTAATGCACGATTTGTTCCGAAATTCAGTATATTGTGTGTATTCCAGGGTTATTCGTTTTTTGCTGAAAACACCCCTATTTTTTAGTGGCAGAGTTTGAATAGTCTCACTCCCACTGGGAAATCTGCATTGTTGCTTGAATGTGAGTTAATTAAACACATTTTCCAGACCGGCGAAAGAGTATGCAACAGCCAATTTTAACAGCCTGTCACGTGATTTTAGTCTGAATGTCAACATGAAGAGGCTAGTCCATTTTACGCAGGAGTAATTGGGAGT